TACAATTTCTACAAAGAATAAAATACCTAGGAATACAAATAACAAAGGGTATAAAAGATCTCTTCAAGGAGAACTACAAACCACTGGTCAAGGAAATAAGAGAGGACACAAACAGATGGAAAGACATTGCGTGCTCATGGTTAGGAAGAATCAGTATTGTGAAAATGGCCATACTGCCTAAAGTAATTTATAGATTAAATGCCATCCCCATCAAGCTACCATTGACCTTCTTCACAGAACTGGAGGTAAGCAATTTAAACGAGAGCCCGCATATCCAAGACAATCCTAAGCAAAAAGAACAAAGCTGGAGGCATCACGGTACCTGACTTCAAACTCTACTACAAGGCTACGGTAATCAAAACATCATGGTACTGGAACCAAAACGGAGATGTAGACCAATGGAACAGAACAGAGGCCTGGGAAGCAATGCCACATTTCTACAATCAATCATCTGATCTTTGACAAACCTGACAGAAACAAGGAATGGGGAAAGGATTCTTTTTTTAATAAATGGTGTTGGGAAAACTGGCTAGCCGTATGCAGGAAGCTGAAACTGGATCCCTTCCTTACACCTTATACAAAAATTAAATCCAGGTAGATTAAAGATTTAAACATAAGAACTAACACCATAAGAACCCTAGAAGAAAACCTAGGCAATACCATTTAGGACATAGGCACAGGTAAGGACTTCATCACTAAAACACCAAAAGCAATGGCAACGAAAGCCAAAATAGACAAATGGGACCTAATTAAAATTAAGAGCTTCTGCACAGCTAAAGAAACAATCATTAGAGTGAACCAACAACCAAGAGAATGGGAAAAAAATTTTGCAATCTACCCATCTGACAAAGGGCTAATATCCAGAATCTACAAAAAACTAACTCAGATTTACAATAAAAAAAAAAAAAACCCATTCAAAAGTGGGCAAAGGATATGAACAGACACTTTTCAAAAGAAGACATTTATGCAGCCAACAAACATATGAGAAAATGCTCATCATCATTGGTCACTAGAGAACTGCAAATAAATACCACGTTGAGATACCACCTCACGCCAGTTGGAATGGCGATCATTAAAAAATCTGGAGACAACAGATGGTGGAAAGGATGTGGAGAAAAAGGAACACTTTTACACTGTTGGTGGGAGTGTAAACTAGTTCAGCCATTGTGGAAGACAGCAATTCCTAAAGGATCTAGAAATAGAAATTCCATTTGATCCAACAATCCCCTTCCTGGGTATATACCCAAAGGATTATAAATCATTCTATTATAAAGACACATGCACACGTATGTTCGTTGTGGCGCTGTTTATGATAGCAATGACCTGGAACCAACCAAAATGCTCATCAATGATAGACAACAAAGAAATTGTGGCACATATACACCATAGAATACTATATGGCCATAAAAAATGATGAGTTTTTGTCCTTTGTAGAGCTATGGATAAATCTAAAAACCGTCATTCTCAGCAAACTGACACAAGAACAGAAAACCAAAGCCTGCATATTTTCCCTCATAGGTGGGTGATGAACAATGAGAACACTTGGGCACAGGGAAGGGAACAACACTCACTGGCCTAGGTTGGAGGTGGAGGGGAAGGAAGGGGAGGGACAGTGGTGTAGGGGAGGATGGGGAGGGATAACACCGTTGAGAAATGCCTGATGTAGGCGATGGGCATGGGAGGGGGATGGAGACAGCAAACCACCATGGCATGTATGTACCTATGCAACAATCCTGCAGGATGCAGGATGTGCACATGTACCACACAGCCCAAAGTACAATTAAAAAAAGAAATACTCTTGGAATGATCAGCTCAATTTTGTGTATTTTTAAAATTAAATACTACTGTCATAATACTTTCAATGGTTTAATAAAACAATATTTCTTATAAACATTTTTAATTTGTAAAGTTATATTAACAATATATATTCATTGTGAAAACTAGAAAATTGAGATGTATGTTGATTGCTGAGAACTAAAAACTACAGATAAAACCTTGAGATTCATTATCAGCATTTTCAGAAACCAACCTCTCAACTGTTTGCCTATGCATTACTGTGTTTATTATGCATATTATTTTGTACCTAAGATTACATTATGGACATACTGCCATGTTAATAAACATAAATCTATGTCATAATTTTAGTGGCTGGATAATATTTAAAAACTAGTACTTTATGTAAATGATCTTTTGTTAATTATTTTAGTCATTTATATTTTTTTACTGGTATAAGCACTGTTTTGATCATCTTTGAACATACATCTTTGCACAATTTTTCAGTTGTTTCCTTAGAATACATATTAGAAGCTGCGTTTTTTGGTCAAAGGTTATGTTTGAGGTTTTTGCTTAATATTTCAAAACAATATATTTTGTATAGTAATGTGAAAAATACAGGTTTATCAAAATTATTAGTCATAAGCATTTTAAAATTACTTGCTAGCCAGACACGATGCCTCATACCTATAATTCCAGTACTTTGGGAGGCACAGGTGAGAGGATCAGTTGAGGCCAGGAGTTTGAGATCAGCCTGGGCAACACCCTGAGACCAATTGTTTGCCAAGCACATGTGAACATTGGCATATTAATTTGTTTTAAAATTCTAATTTGTATTTGTTTTTGCTGTATGTGGTTGAACAGTTTTGTGTTTATCATTTGTTTTTCATTGGCGATTACCTGTTTGTATTCTTTGCCTATTTTTCTTTTGCCATGTTGATTTTTAACTATTCTTTATACAGTAGAGGTATATTTGCTTTGCTATATAGGTTGTAAATATATTTTCCAGTTTATTCTTTGATGATTTACATTTAGTTTTAAAAGTTTTATAATTATACTTGTTAATCTTTTACTTAATAATGGATGTCTTTGGTTCCTCACCACAATATTTCAAAATACTCACCTCCGTATTCTTGGATATTTTTATGGTTTTACTTTTATCCATCTGTTATTTATTTTGGTGTAACTTAAACACAGAGCAACCAAATCTCACAACTCTAGGCAGTACCATTTACTTTTACATGGAATAGAATGTGAACTGTGCTTCTTGGAGTTGTACAACTCACTGACTCTGGGAACTGGGAAGCATTAAACCCTGTTTTTTTATTGTTTAGTTATTTCTCCAACACTACTTAATGAATAATCCATCACTTCACCGCAGATTTGAAATACCTTATTTTTCAGGATAAATTCTTACATTTGCTTGAGTCTTACATGGACTTTCAATTGCATTTCAGTTGTTTGTGTATTTTCTTTTTTTAAATCTTGGGATTATGGTTTTTGTTGCATTTTAGTTATTTTTCACTTGTTAATATTTACAGCTAGATTTTTTTTAGTGTTTTCTTTCTTTCTTTCTTTCTTTTCTTTTCTTTCTTTTCTTTTCTTTTCTTTTCTTTTCTTTTCTTTTTTTCTTTTCTTTTCTTTTCTTTTCTTCTTTCTTTCTTCCTTGACAGTCTCACTCCGTCACCAGGCGCCAGGCTGGAGTGCAGTGGCGTGACATCGGCTCACTGCAACCTCCGCCTCTGGGTTCAAGCAATTCTCCTGCCTCAGTCTCCTGAGTAGCTGCGACTACAGGTGCACGACACCACACCCAGCTAATTTTTTTGTATTTTTAGTAGAGACGGGGTTTCACCATATTGGCCAGGATGGTCTCGATCTCTTGACCTCGTGATCAGCCCGCCTCAGCCTCCCAAAGTGCTGGGATTACAGGTGTTTTCTTTTTTTATAGTTTTAAATAGGAAAGTAGAATTGGACATATGCATTTTCTACTGGCATTTTTTTCATGGCTATTTTTGAGTAATTTGTAGGGCATCTTCTATTTGAAAAATATGAAGACATTGCTGCAGTATTTGGATTTGAATTATTTTCTGTTATATATTATGTTGTATTTTAAGTCTCAGTAGTGAGTATCTGGTTGAAGATTTGTGATCAGGGGTTGAAAATGAGCAGAATTGTATTTTAGGAAAATGAAAATGGAAATTATGAGAGAGTGCTAGCCTCTGACTTGATTCCTTCACCTCACAGTAGTCTAGGGTATTGAGAGCATAAACTATGGTGGTAAAAAGAGAAAATGTATATTTTTCAACACACCCTCCCATACTGTTAAGTCTAGAAAGACTTTCTCTGGGCTTTGTGATTAAATTATAAGTGTTTTTTGGCCTGGCAAACATGAATATATCCTATTTTCCAGCCATATCTCTGTCTGGTTCTACATTCATAGAGTGTGGAGTGTACCAGCCAAAGTGAATTGTTCCCCAGAGATTTGCTCTTCTTGCTTCTGTATAATTGCCCAAGCTTGTGTCTCTGTGTGGTAAGCTGTTCTTGCCCTGATGTCATCAGACAGTCTCATCCGTCATTCAGAGTTCATTTCAAATGCCTTTTGCTTTCTACAGCTTTTCCAGGTAGTTATGTCTCCATTTCCTTTGAGCCCAGTTGCACCTTACTTATATTCCTATTATATTTTGCCTTGTGACAGTGATGTTGGCATATTTATGTTATTTCCTCTGCTTCTGTAAGCAAATACAACCCCAGTGTTTTATGAAATGTTCAAATTTGGCATTAAGTGAGGGCTAAGGGCTATCATAATGGACCCTTTAAAAGTGCTTTTATAATTTTTTTAGTGCTTTCCAGATAACAGACTTGTATACTACAGTAACTAGGATTCATGATTACTGTTGTCGAACAGTTTAGTTGGACAAGGTTTTATGAATCTACCTGCTAGATTCTGTGATATGTTATTTACCAAGTTTTTAGAAATATTTATGTAGTTTGAGAAGTTATATTGTAAAATCAGTAAGTATATGTGTTAATATAAATAGTACTGATGGAAGAATACTGTATTTAAAAGTGTCTTATTTCTTGTATTTGACAATGATGATAAAATATTTGTATGTTGTCTTCTATCATGTAGTTCAGAACACAGTTATTTTAGCTCTTATTGTACCTATTCTAACTATATCTTTGAATCAAATCATCAGTTTTGAGAATCAGAAATTTCAGGCAAAGTAGACTTTTCTTAAAATTGAGTTCTCTAGCTTATTTCAGCATTTGGTAACAGGTACTTCTGCACAAAACAGAGTGGCATTCTTGAAATTTTAGTGTTGTCTTGTACTCTGGTGGCTATTAGAGTTGGTGTTCTGCACTTAACCATTTCTCTGTCAGTTATTGTCCAGAATTTTGTTGAGAGAGAATATTTATGGAAGATATTTCTGAAGTGTATCAGCCCACGCTCCAGGCATTTCTCTTAATTAGTGAATTTCTGAAGGTTGGTGGATAAGGGAATGAGAAGATAACTATATTAGAAAACCTGGAGGCCATTTTTGTTTTTATATAAAGACACATGCACATGTATGTTTATTGCGGCACTGTTCACGATAGCAAAGACATGGAACCAGCCCAAATGCCCATCAAAGATAGACTGGATTAAGAAAATGTGGCACATATATACCATGGAATAATATGCAGCCATAAAAAAGAATGGGTTCATGTCCTTTGCAGGAACATGGATGAAGCTGGAAAACATCATTCTCAGCAAACTGACACAAGAACAGAAAACCAAACACCACATGTTCTCACTCATAAGTGGGTGTTGAACAATGAGAGCACATGAACACAGGGAGGGGAACATCACACACGGGGGCCTGTCAGGGGGTGGGGGGCAACGGGAGGGATAGCGGGGGTGGGGCATTGGGGAGGGATAGAATTAGGAGAAATACCTAATATAGATGACGGGGTAATGGATGCAGCAAACCACCATGACACGTGTATATACCTATGTAACCTGCATGTTCTGCACATCTACCTAGAACTTAAAGTATAATAAATAGACCGGGCGCAGTGGCTCACGCCTGTAATCCCAACACTCTGGGAGGCCGAGACGGGTGTATTGCTTGAGGTCAGGAGTTTGAGACCAACCTGGCCAACACGGTAAAACCCCATCTCTAAAAAAAGAAAAAAATAATAAGTATAATTAATATATATATATATATATATTTTAAACAGCTGTCTTCTTTTCAGTTGGAAGTGCTACCCTCCCTTTTCTGCCCAGCCTGATTGACCTTTCAGGTGTTTTACGAAATGATACAAATCTACCATTTTAATATTCTAGAATCTATCCCTGGATTAAACCAGAGTTACAGAGGGTTTTATACGTACACAACCATTCCCATCTAATTCTTTTTACTGAGTTTTCCTTTAGTTTGATGTTACTATTGTACATTGAGGAATATTACAATCATTAGCCTTATGAGACTTCTTGTTGCCTTTTCTATAAGGTTGTTGTGGCCATTGTTATACATTGAGGGATATAAGAAACAACCATGTGAGACTTAAAATACCTATATAGTTGTGGAAAACATTGAGAAGACCCATGAGAGACATGGGAAAGCCCGTGAGAGTCACTGCTGTCTGTTCTTAGTACCAATAGTTTGCACTTCTACTGAGCAGCTAGGGAGTTTTTAATCTTACCATTTTGACACATGTAATCAGCTCCTTTTCCTTGTTTAACTGACCTAATAGAAATTATGTGGAATTCAAAGAAAGAGCCTAAAATAAAAATTAAAAGAAATTATAAGGAGCAATTTATGGCTCACTTCTTGGAAGAATGCAGGACTTAATGATAAAAGCATTTTTTTCATGCTTTTCATGCTCTTTGCTCTGATTTTATTACTTTTGCATTTAGTTCAGTTCTAGCTAAAATTCTATGCTTTTTAAAGTTACCTTGCTGAGGGTGGTGGTGTGTGCCTGTGACTCCAGACACTCAAGAGGCTGAGCAGGGAGGATTGCTTGAGACCAGGAGTCTGAGGCCAGCCTGGGCAACTTACTGAGATCCTGTCTCAAAAAAGAAAAAGAAAATGCTAAAGTTATTTCATATGATCTTTAGGATAAGGGAGGATATAAATAAATAAAATTATATCTACTAACATTTACCAATTTTGCTTTCCTGCTTTCTTTTTAACACTAACTATGGTTTTTATTTTAGTTTTGGATTACATACTCTTTGGAGGATCTTAATAAATTTGTATATCTTTGCTCTAGGAAAAAAATGCATAAACACACCCGTGACGTTTTGCATCTGATTTAGGGTACTTTATGAGACTTTAGGAAACCTTATACTAAAGTCATTGTTTATCTGGAATATATTATTTGGCAAATATTTTTCTGTAAGGTGGCCATATCCAATCATGTGAATTATTGTCTTTGTATCTTTAAGATGTATCACTAGCAGCTGATTTTCAGTAATGCTCATTTTCAATAATAAGTTGTGATAGGTTAGGTCTGTGATTACATCAGTGAAAATACTAAAAACCCAAAGTAATAACAAAAGATATTATCATTGTGGTTGGAAGAAATCCCTCCTGAAAGGGTTAATAAGAACTGTTCCTAGAGTAGTGTTTCTGTAATACCATTGGTGGCATTTATCAAGCATCGGTGCTACTTAAACTATTATACAGAACAGGAATTTAAATTAAAGGATGTCATAAAAGTATCAAAGATTAGGTTATTATTTACTAAATGGCATTAATGGTACAAAGGAAATAATAATAGCAAAGGAAAAATGTTTAATTCAAACCTCTACCTAACCTGAATGGCATTTGTTCAAAACATATGCAAAATATAATTTTTAAGTATTTTCACTGCAAGTTTATTTTATAAGTAATTATTTTATGTCAATTATTATGTTTTAGTAGAAGTTTTATAGTGAAATGGGCAAAAAATGTTCAAGAGTAGTACTTCTGGTTTGAGTAAGAATTTTATGAAAAATAGTAGCCATGCAGTTTTATAATTAACTGAGTATTTCGGTTGAGTGAGGTATATAACAGTTTACGGTGAATGTTTCCTGTTTGGTAGCATTTTATCTTCTGAGAGCATATGGTTCTTAAAGGAAACTTTTGTCTAGATAACTTTTAAAGAAACAAAATTTTATTTTTTAGGAAGCTAATGTAGTGGATTATAGTATATATAATCCAACTAAAATTTTATAAGTTAAAATGAAGTAAATGGAGGACTTTTTTTCAAGAAGGCTTTACGGTCTGAATTAAGAGCTGCTTCTGTGTTTTCATTTATTACTTGAATGTCACCTTGATACATAGTCTGTCTTCTGATACCTAAAGTAGTAATTCTTAAACTTCAGCACACAAATCACCTGAGAGTACTTAATAAACATATTGGTTGGGTGTGGTGACCAATATCTGTAATCCCAGACCTTTGGGAGGCCAAGGTGGGAGGATTGCTCAAGACCAGGAGCTTGAGACCAGCATGGGCAACATAATGAGGCCCTGTCTCTACAAAGGTTTTTTAAAAAATTAGCTGGGCTTAGTGGTGCATGCCTGTAGTCCTGGCTACTCGGGAAGCTGAGGTGAGAGAATTGCTTGAGCCTCAGAATTCAAGTCTGCAGTAAGCCATAATTGTACCACTACACCCCAGCCTGGGTGACAGAGGAAGTCCCTATCTCTAAAAAACCAAAATAAAACAAAAAAAGTTTTTCAGGACTGCAACCTCAGAGATTCTGATTCAGTAAGTCAGAGGGTCAGAGATGGGCCCAGGAATTGGTATTTTAAAAAATACCGAAGAGTGTCTGATAGAGGTGGACTACATTTTGAGAAACAGCCTTCTAAACAAGATGTAACAGTAGGATCTGAGGTTTAAAAATTGTTAATTTTCAATTCCACTAATATTTACTGATCAGTTAGTATGTATCAGGTACTTTTTTGGGAAGCATCATAAAAGCAGTATAAAGGCATTGTAAAAGTAGTGCAAAGGTGTATTAGTGTTGCCAACTGTTATTGTATTGTGTGCATTTAAGACAGTTTTTATAAAGTTATAAGGCAGCTACAGTTTGCTAGAATTTTGTTGTTTGTAAGAAATGATAGTAGGAAAACATTTAACAGCAAAAGAAAAGACAAAGTTTTTTAAGAATTGAGAGGAAAACAAAGTACAGAGTATGTAAATTAGATATTTTGCATTTCAACCTGTCCTGAGGCATTAACAATATTTTGGATGAAATACATATCTTTGATTCTTCTCTATCCAATCAATAAACAGTATTCCCAGTGTACTCAGTTTACCGTATATGGCATATGGGATTGTGTGTAGTATTACTGGCTGATGAAAATATAAATATATTAATATATATAATTATTACCTCACTACAGTCCCATATGTATTTCTCAATCCTGTTGTCTACATTTAATATAACTTTCATTTGTTTTGTTAGCATTAACATTTTAAAATTTTATATTAAATTTAAAACATTTAATTTTGCAAATCTTATAAGTATTTTATGTCCAAAGCTGGCGGAGGGAAAAGCAGTTTCCCATAACCTTGTCATCCTCGCTAGCCACTTTTTCTCTTCATCCTGAGAAATTGGTTGATGTGCTTTGGCCTTGCTTAATACCTCTCAGAAAAATATGACATATTGCTTTCACGGAAGCGGGGTGACGAAAATGACTTCAATCCCAGACAGACTCAGCTCTCCTCCCTTATCTTACTTGATGCTTCAGGGTTTGATAGTGGCAGGGAGTTGATATTGGTGTTAGTGACAGAAATGACAGCACATTTTACCACTTGCTGGTGCAAGTACAAAGCTGTCATATTTGAAAGCCATGAATATAGCTCATGGAGGCCTGTAGAAAATGTGTGAATAGAATGGGAGAGACACTTAGGACTATTTTCACATGTTATTTTAACATGAGCAAGGGAAGAAGTCTTATTGTGATTACGCTTGCTTGGTTCTTTTCATCCTGAAAAAAATGAGTATTTATTAAAGTGTGATGGCTTTTATATTAGTGATAAGCCCACTTTTCCATTTGTTTCTACATTTTAGTAACATTTTGTTCTAAATATCTATAAATTGTTGCAAAGTTTAGTATTTATTCTACTTGTTATGATGCTGTGTTTGTTATTAAATTTCTAGTATGCGCAGCCTGTCAACAGGGTGTCTTTTGCTGTTTTGAACACTTTTTAGAAAAAAGTCAATCTTCAAATTAGTTTTGTTTTGTGAATTCTAACCTACAATTCTGTATTCTATTTGTATTTCTCTAAGAACTTAGCATCTTTGAGTATTTTAGGTCTTTCCAGCCTTATCTGGGTTCTGTTATCTCTTCACTTTTCTCATTTATGATATGATCTGAGCTTTTTAAATTTCTAACATTTATTATTGGTCAACTCATTTTTAACTTTCTTAGAGTTCACTGCAGTCCCTGTGTGTGGTTCATATTCAGGAGTACATGCAAGTGCTCATCTTGAGATAGAAAGAAAATAGTTGCTAAAAGTTTAGTTGTCTTATTTCTCATCTTATTTAGTGGAAAGGATGAAAAGAAATACATTATTTTATGGTTTTCCCATTGGTTCTTGACTTCATTCTGAAATATAACCTTTTCAGTTGCCAGGTTACTTTTGGCAACTGAAAATTTTAATTTTTAATTGAAACTGAAAATGTAAATTTTCTAAAGTGATTTGAAATACAGTTTGAAGTCACTTAATTGGAATAGAAAAAGCTTTATTTGTGATTTCATTACTATTATTCTTTAGAAATGTTGCTATTTTAAAATTTTTTAATTGAAAAACTATTTTTGTCCAGGCACGGTGGCTCATGCCTGCAATGCCAGCACTTTGGGAGGCCAAGGTGGGCAGATCACGAGTTTAAGAGATTGAGACCATACTGGCCAACATGGTGAAACCCACATCTACTAAAAAATATAAAAGTTAGCTGAGCATGGTCTCGCACCTGTAGTCCCAGCTGCTCGAGAGGCTTGAGGCAGGAGAATTGCTTGAACCCAGGAGGCGGAGGTTGCAGTGAGCTGACATTGTGCCACTGTACTCCAGCCTGGCGCCTGGTGATAAAGCAAGACTGTCTCAAAAAAACAAAACAAAACAAAAAAAACTTTTTATGTAGCCATTAACAAAGAATGAGGGCTGTATGTATATAAGGAGTTGGATGGATGCTTGTAATAAATTATTCAGGGAAAACAGCGAAGGATGACATTTGTATGTTTTACTTTACATACATTGGTATTTTCTCACTGTATTTTTTTAATAGTTAAAATAGTTAGAAAATATGTGTTTAATGGAAAATGAATAAACCAATTGAAAAATATATAAAGTAGATAATTTAAAACATCAACTTAAAATTTTCATTCTGAATAGCTTCTAATAAATAGAACAGTTTTTAATGTTATTTTTTTTACTTCATTGAGTTTTCTGCCTCATCATAGGTTCTTGTTGTTGCTTGTGTTATCAAGGTAATTTATGCAAAGCATAATTGAATAGTTTTACTGAGGATAATCTGTTTCTTATGGTCTTCCTTCTGGTCATTACTTTTTAATTCTTCAGTCTCTTATGCCAGTTTTCTTTCCTAACTAGTTAACGCTATTATTCTGCCTTCACATTGCTGTCACATCTGTATACTCCTTTGTCAAGCTATTGCCATCACTTATTGCCAGGCCTTTCACTAGCGATGAAGGTGATGGCGGCAGCTTCCTGTCTTCTGTGTCTTACCTCATCAATTCTATCTATGTATTCCTGTTTTATTTGTTTTTTTTGAAGCTCATTTTTTCACCTTGTATTTCCCTGCTTGTATATCTCTTCTAGTTATGGCTCCAGTTTAACTTTCTAGATAAGTTCTCCCTACTGTATTACCATTTTTACAAAGAACAATTTGCCCTTCCAGAATATGCTGCAGTGCCTTATTCAGCAGTGTTTTTGTTTATATTCTTCTTAAATTCAACACGATCCCTTTCTTCTTAAGTCTAAAAGAACTTTATTCTTCTTTTATAGTATTTACCACATCTGCCTCTGTTTTTAGGTATTGCCATACCTTTTAATGCCTTGACTCTAGATTTTAAGCTCTTGAGGGTAATGATTCTTTCATATATTTCAAAGTATCTGCCAGAATGCATCTATAGTATAAGATTTTAAATACTAATTGAATTACAAAGCTTACTTAATTTTATAGTCGTAAAATGCAATAAAATGAAAAGTTTTATTGACTTTGGGAAGTAGCCTTGAAATAGGTGGAATAAGCCTTACTAAGATCTTGTTTCCTAATAATTTTAGATTTCTTTAAACTCTTAAGTCTAATTTCAGTTCAATGAGAAATCTGATTTTTAATGCCCAAGGAACTGAGATTTAACTATATGTCTCCCCTTATCTGCAGGGATACATTACAAGACCACCAGAGGATGCCTGAAACCGTGGATAGTATTGAACCCTACCTATAGTATATTATGTACTATGTTTTTTCCTATACATACATACCTATGATAAAGATTAATTCATAAATTAGGCACAGTAAGAGATTAAAAACAACTAATAAAGTAGAACAATTATACATAAATATATAAATAAGTTTAGATATAACAATTTAAAACTTATAAATTGTTTATTTCTGGAATTTTCCATTTAATATTTTTGGACATGCTAACTGACATTGGGAAACTGAAACTGCAGCAATTAAAACCGTGGTTAAGGAGAGACTGCTGTAATTTTAGTTAAAGGATGAAAAAATAGAACATATACCTAAAAACTGACTTGGGTAAGAAATACGTAATTATCATGAAGGGCATTTTAAAAGATGCATCATTGTAAATAATTCTACCTTTATAATAAGTTTGAACATTTGTTCAGTAGTATATGACAGAGTAACAACTCCTTTACAAAATATAAAACAAAAAAAGCAAATATTATTTTTCACATCTTGTTGAGCTCATCTTTGGTTGATATTTAAAATACTACGTGGAATAAGCCCTACTAAGGGCTTAAGGGCTTTTTATCCTTTGGAAGAACTGACCAATTAACTGTAGAAATTGATATCTGTGCCTATGATTTATTAATAGCATATGGATAGAAAAATTTAGTTTTAAGAAGGGTCCCATACTGAGTTTGCTGTTGCCTCTATTGCGTTTGCATTTTTAATTTTTCATTCTAACAGGAAATATTAGCCTTAATGCTTTTATGAGCAAAATTACTTGAAATAAAGTGAATTCACACATTGTAATGAAGACCAACATGAGGAAAATAGAAATATTTATCTTTTCATAGAACAGATGTTTAATACAAAAAGTTGTCTAAGCTTCTCATTCTCACATTTAAGCTGAGGTCAGTAGTTGGAAACATAGTTGTGACTTGTTTTTGAAGCTAAGTTTTTAGCCCGTAAGCATTATTTTGGTTTGCATATTTTATACTACTTAGCACATTAGAAAGCTATTAGAAGTTTTCTGATAGGTATGAATTTTCTTGTCGTAAATCAGTTGATGCACTTTTGTATACCTGAAAGATCATTACAGATGGGCAAAAATGCTTGCTAAATATCTGCTTCAGTGCCAATAATAGCAGTTTTAAAGGCAATATTGTGATATTTGCCATTTATTTATTTCTTATTACAGAAGACAAGAAGGCATGAAAGCAGCTTAGACAAATATATTAGAAATCTGTTTTTATACTGAGTTCTTTGGCATAGTTATAAACATTAAGAATAAAAATGTTTAAAATGTAAGGGAGTTTTCCTTAATATGAAGGCTCTAAAAATAGTCTAATTTTTATTAAGATTATAAAACTAGATATTAAAATTTTATGGTTGGAGTCCAATTATAAAATTCATTTTTAAAATTTTTAAGTGAAGATATTAATGAGTTTGTTTCATTTCCTGGGTTAAAAAATAAAAATAAAATAAAAGAAGATTAGGAGTTATGCTGTGCCAAATGGTACCAAACAAACATTTTCTTGATACTTTTGCACCTGAAGTGTTAATTTCCCTTTGGGGTTTCAAAAACTTGGCTATGCTACATTTTGAAGCATTTTTTTAACTTCAAAAAACAGTAGAAAATAAGGCAGAAGGAAACTGAGGTTTTGCCAAGATTTGACATTATGTTAACATTATTATCAGAAGTAAATTACTATTGAATTTGCCATGTTACCTTAATGAGTCCAAACTATTGCATGGTATTCATTTCTCCAAGGATTCGGATATTTAGTAAAATAGACTGGATAAATCTCATTTATTTGTATAAAAGTGATATATTGTTGAATTTTTGGACTTTTTTGTTTGTTTAAAAATGGGTTGCTACTTGGTTTAGTGAATACATTTTCAAAAAATAGAATAAAAATTGTTCACTTAGCCAATTACATTGCAGTATTTTCCTATTTTAAGTAACATTGCTAATTTTCTGATAATGATATTGGCACTTACTGATAGATTATTACATTAGAGCAATTGGAAAATACTGGCTTGATAGGAGATTCCTAATCCTTGTAATCTGTAGTTAGGGTTCGCAATTTCATGATTTTCCCACGTGAATTCAGGGTTGGAGAGAAAAATGCCTAAAGTTAAATTAAGTGATGGTAGAGTAGAAAAGTGACAAGATTTATTGTTACTTTAATGATTTTCAGTGTGGAAATAAAACAATTATATTTTGAAATACTTCGGAGCTATGATTGCTTAGGAACATTGTATAAACTGTATTACTCAAAACTTGCATGTATCTAAAATTAGAGGCTTTGTTAGACTTTTCTATAATAGCATAACATCTTTTTTTTTTCCTTCCTGGTATTCAGATTTGGATAGTTAACTTTCTATTATACAAAAGGGCTGAGTTGAATAAAGTTATGAAGTAGGTTAATGTATTTTTTTTTTTTTAACCAGTATACTGTATTAATCCAGAGCATTTGGCTTAAACTTAAGCAAAGAGAGAAGGGAAGAAAAAGACTGGTGCTTTAGTGTTCTTCCTTCCCTTTATTTTCTTTTCATTTGTATATTGTAGGCATACTGTCCCTGAACTTAGAAAATCAGTTTTGTTTTTTTTTTTCCATAGTAAACATGAATTTTAACGTTTCTCTATCTTGGTGTGTATACAGAGGTTTTTTTTTTTGTTGTTCATTAATTTTAAAATTTTGATAAATCCTGTGATTTTTTACGTTTAAAAGAATACAGCTTCATACATAGTTCATTATTTTTGATGCATCAGACATAGCAAATACACTATACCAGCAAACATAGCATAGTGGTATGGAAAATGCTGGATTGTTTTGAGCCCATAATTTTGGGTTTTAGGTTAAAATGCTACCCCAGTTGTCATGTAAATATATCTGTAATTTGTGGCTTAGAAATAATGCACTGTAACTTCAAAAAAAAGCAAGGATACCTATGTTAGTTACACTTTAAAGTTATACACTGTTTTAAGGCTATGTATTTATTCTTTAGAAAATATGACTTACATGAATATTTTCTGTTGGACATAATATTGACAAAATATACACATGATAGTACTTTTAACAAACTGCCATGCAACAAATACATTAAGTAATGAAGTTGAATATATATGACCTAATCTAATTGACATTCACATTGAAAATTTACAACATAATCAATACTTAAAATATTTCTTCTTATATTTGGCAGTAATATCCGTTTTTACAATTTAAATTTAAAACTCATTTGAATGTGGATTTGGTGAAACTTAGACTTTTCTCTAGTCTGTGACAACCTGAGGTACTAAACATTTCTCTCTTATTTCACTATCTTCAAAGGTAATTTTTTTGTTTCTTTTAGGATCTATCCAAGAGTTGTGTATTACAGCGTTATTAGGCAGGGGATCAGCTTCTACTATGGAAACAACTCGCTTTTTCATTTTACTTTTCAAGACCTTTTGAAATTTTTGTCTAGTGAATGCATATAATAGAGGGTGAAATATAGTTGTTCCATAAGCCATGACTAAAAAACTCAATCTTAATTTTACTAAAAGGTCACTTGGGCCTAAACATAAAATGGTGGTATTTAAAACAGAAATTGGTGTCCAGCAGAGAAGAAATGTAGAAATAATCAATAAAGACATCCTGAAGACTCTTTTTTGTCTTTCTCGTCGTTCACGGTGTCGTTTCACAGCTCGCCGGAGGGCAATTATTACAGAAACTGAAGTTCTTACACCAAAGACCACATTTCTCCCACCACTGCTTTGTGACATGTCTGTAGCCTCGTGTTGTGTGGTTAGAGAAATTGTCTTTTTCTTTCTTGCTTTCTTCTTCTGCCCTGTTGAAAATCTTGTGCCTATTCGAATATTAAGAGCCTGAAGTATTTTGGTGTATGTGATTAGCATTACTACAACAGTGAAAAAGAATATTGGGATCTGTACTAACAGGTGATAATACATTCCCAGTTCAGTGTAGTATTCATTTGTACTGACACATAAAAGTGTCTTGTTTTCCCATGTATTTCCACTTTGAAGACTGAAAAAATTTACCTCAATAAAAGGAATGAGGAAAGAGAAAAAAGAAAAAATCCAAATGGATGTCATTAACATTACAGCTCTGCCCATTGTCAGAATTCGGTTTGCAGGTTTTACAGAGATGTCGTATCTGTCCAAAGTGATAGCAAAAACGTTGATTGCTGTTGAGACACTTGCAAAAGATACACAAGCCTCATGGAAACAGCAGATGAGAGCAGTGTTACTCTCCAGTGAAAGCAGAAGGATAACTATAGTTAGAGGAATACATCCCACACAAATTATTACATCAAGTACATGAAGATTCATCGTAATAATGTTACTGACAGAGTTGATTAAGTTGGATTTCATGCAGTAAAGTACCAATACGGTGAGGTTGCTGCCAAGTCCCAACACAATTTCTAACATAAGAAATCCGGTGAGAGACACTTGAAAGCTTAACGGATATGATAGTGGTTGGTACATATTGGTGTTGATGTCATCAATGTCATCTCGCACTGTAATGTTAGATTCAGACTGCATGTTGATTTCCAGAATGGGAGAAAAGCACATTCTTTTGGAGCAGTTGTTTTTTTCCCTAGAAAGTGAAATAGAATAAACTATTTGATATTTGGCAATTTAAATGCTGTAGAACGTGTTCTTTGTAAGAAATCTTTTAATTGTGTGCTTGGTTTAATTTTTAAGTTTGTAAACTATTAATAGAAAATGTAGAATTAAGAAACATCAAGGTTGCATTATTTTGTTATAAAAAATTGTGTTTCCCTTTTGAAGAAATAACTATGAAAATTGTTCCTCGGTAGTACAGAGTTATTTTAATATACTAAAGGATTTTCCTCATTTGAGTTTTTCAAGCTTATTATTTGAGATAAAGTATATTTTTGTATGATAAAACTACCTAGCATACAAAATAAATCTCAAGCCAGTGTCTTAAAATTTCATTTAAATGTTGTGAGTAGGTAGCAAATAAATGCTATTTTAATATACTCTAGCATAATGAGTGTAGGTGTAATTATTCCTGTGAGATTTCAAATGAACAGGACAAGTGTTCATTTAAAATGACAAATGGCACAGAGCTCTAGTTTGTTTTAAGACGCTTTATCCATGTTGATTGAATTTCATATTCAGAAGTCAACAGTGTGCTTGGGGACATTTGGAGTTATTTCCCACAGAAATAGGCCAGTGATAAATATTTCATATATCACAGTTAAAATGCTCAGTGAACTTTACAATTGGCAGACTTAAAAATTGGAAGAAATGGGACGTTATGCTAAAATTAAAAGCTACAAAGTTTGGTAAAAGAGCATTAATCACTCCGATGAGTGATTTATTTTGTGACCATACCCTGTTGTAGCTTGTGGAAACAGGAAATTGAAATTTAATATCACATACCCAATTTTAAAGTGGTTTAAAAAAATATATCAGTTAACTTGGTTTAAACTGAGTTTTTAAAGTAAAAGATGAAATATCAGGGAAAAGGGGTATGTGAGACCCGTTTTTTGAGGAAGCTTTTAAAGTTATACATTACCTGTGAAACCTTTTGTGTACATCACCCATTGTATAATTTTGAAGAAAATTTAAAAAAAAATACAAATTCTTGTGCTAATTCATGCAAATCTATGTTTTAATATATAGGGGTTTAAAATAATTTATAAAAAATAATGTCTAATATTCTGGGCTGAAATGTCACTTATTCAGTATATTCAGTTTAAAATATGAACTCATACAACCAACTATATTTCACATTTAAAATATCAACTGCAAAATCATATTCAAGCATAAATTATAAAACCTAATTTCAAAATTCATGTTAACTTTCACTTGAGGTTATGTTTGACAAATTTTAGAATACAGTTTTATGCATGTTATTTTGGGGATAATATTGCAGAAACACAAATGATAACATTTCTTTTGAGTTAGTATAAAGTATTACTAGAGGCATATTTATTCGAATAAGTTAAGGTCTTAGCTAACATTGAAGTCCTATAAAAATGGAAAATTTTAAGTGTGCCAGATTTTCTCAAATGACAGATTAAACATCAGGTCTTTGTCACATCAGTTAGATTTATAATTTAATAAAGCAGAAATGTCAAGTTAGATGATAATTAAGAAAAATACATTTTCTCTACAGCAAGATTCTGATATTTTGTAAATGTTAAACAATGTGGTCCAGTGCATGCATCTTCTGACCTACCTGTTTGCTGTTGCCTTATGGGCCTTTTGGCTCACAATGGCAGTTTTTGACAAATTGATACATGATATCATTGACAGATTTTGACATGAATTTTTACCTGACAACAGTGAAGTAGCTGTGATTTATTTCATGTCTTGTAGGAATTCTTTCATTTTCTCTCCAGTACTTCAACTGCATGCATTATGAGATTTAGTTGGCTGATGGATTTCTAAAGAACAGTACATAATATTTTATTTGTTTTGCTTTAAAAAGTCATGACCAAGAGAAACTTCCTCAGATGATAGGAATTATGTTTCCCTTTGATGGTGTACATGAGAATGTCTCTTTATTTTCCAGAATATGTGAAAACAAAAAAGGAAACATCATAAGGTTTGTAGCTTCTAAAATATATTTAAACATCCTTTTGTTACAATTGTAAACTGTTTTTATAGCAGTCCTCACTATTTTGAAATGATTTCTTGATCACATAACTTGCTTTATATTATAAATCCAGGCCATGCCCTTTTGATAAAAACCATCTGCTATTTAATTTGGTTTGTTTTCATTAGAAGAGGATACATAATTGGTCATAAAAGTCAGAAAAATCCATTAGTCGTATCAATTGATATGAATATCTGAATATTTAGTGCACAACACACTTGCTAAATCTTCCTTTTGTTTGCTGGTCAAGTATGTTATTTTCTTTTTGGAAATTCATGTTTCATTATTTCTTCCAGAATCAGTAGCTTCCACAATTCTGATATGTTAAAGTATAAACTTCCTTTTTTAAAATGCTCACCAGTTCTTTTCGGGCTTTTACAGTTATATTGTTTTTCTTTTTGTGGTTATTTTCTGTAGCATCTTCCTAGGATACAGTTGATTTTTTATATTCCAACAGTAATGTAGACCTGTTCCCTGGTTTTAACTCCTTAATGTCTTAAGTCATGTTATAGGAACATCTTGCAGTTCGTAGTTCAGACAGCTAGGGAGATGCTCAGTCAGTTGCATTCTTCATATTGTCAGTTGTAAATACTGAATTAGCTGCTATCGGTCCTGTGAAAAGAAAATAATTGGTTAAGAAATAGGATTTTTAAAAATTTGCAATTAATTGAAAGTTACTTTAGTTTTGTTTAAAAACTATCCAGTGTTTCTTATCACAACAACCAAACTGAATTATTAGAGCCACAGCTATATGCATAAAATTAAATTTCTTTAAATAAAAGATTCCTTTTTCCTAATAAAGATTGTATATATTATCTTATTTAACAATACAGTTCACATTTCAAATACAGTTGAGAGAAAAGCTGTATTTTTTAAAACTAGTTTCTGCTCTCATTTTAGAAGCTAATCTGTATTTTCAGAGACGATGAACAGTTAGCATACACTAAACATATTGTTATTTCCTCTTTGTAATAAATTTAACATTTCTTGCTGTAAAAATACTGTAACTTGCTTAATTATTAGCACATGGCTTGAATTTTAACTCATTAAAACAGATTTCCTGACAAGATACTATAAATTTCTATTGATGAATTGTTCATGTGGTTGAAATATAAAAGATAATAAAAATTATAACTGCAAATTAATTTTCAGTGAACATGCCCAATAATAAACTTAACATAAAAATAAGTAATAAGTAACAGCAAAATAGTAAACTTCGTTCTTTTAAGAAATACAAGCATTTTTGGAACACTGGAGAAAAACTGTACTGATTACCTTAAGAATATTTAGTATGTCTGAAGTGACTTAAAAGCTGTCTTCATAGTGAATTAACAAAGAATATTTGTATTTAACAATGCATTATAAAAATTACATTTAAAATTTAGCATGTCTTAAAAGAAATTGATCTTAAAATACATGTCTAGCAATAAGTAGAATTAAACAAACTCTTAAAATTTAGGCTGAAATTTTTCAAAGTAATTTTTACCCCACTATGCCAGTTCAAAAGCAGCTGTATACTATAATAAGGAACACATCTTACCTCCGCTAAAGATTTGATAAATTCTTGATGTAGTTGAAGCATTTCCAGTTTGGATTGATTCATTTTGTTCACTTGTTAGTAGAGGACTGGGGGAAGAGGGTCATAAACATCTCTTCGAAAATGACCTTAATGAAAATATGTGTCTGTAGTGTGCCATTGTTTCAGCAGTACTGCTAATGTATGGAACATGTAGTGCTGCTTAGAGGCTGCTGCAGTCTCTCACTCTTCCTACTGTGGAATCAATAAGCATCTGAAAATACATAATGAAAGTAATTTAACATACTGAAGGCTTCTTGTCTCCAGAGACAACATTTAGATTCAGTCTTTCTAAAAAGGAACGGCACTGCTTTTCGGAGGAAAGCCTGTTCTGGGCAGCTTTTGCAGAATGACAGCCTACCTTGTCGCTTCTCTCCACTGCAGAGAGATGCAGTGCATTCACTAATTTTGATTGGTCAGTTGTATTGGGCTTAAACTGTGCTTCATATGTATAGCAGGGATTTCCCCCGCTCCCCACTGTTTTATATAAGGATACTTTTTTAAAAAGGCTAAATTTATGAGTGGTTATATGTTGTTCTTAAATAGAATATGTGTAAATTAGTATTTTAAAAATGTGTATTCTATTCTGGTTTGTTGGTCACTTATGCCTAACATTAAAAAATGCAGGGAGGTGGGGGAACAGAAAAGATTTACATAGTAAAAAGTATATATTCTTTTTAAAGCCTTGATAATTGCATTTGAGAATATTTTAGTCATATATATGTTTTTGGTTGAGATTCTTTGTTCTACAAATAGAAACCCACTGCTTCTTTACTGTGAGCCACATTGAATTTCAACTAGTTTGTTTGTATTCAAGTCATCTTCTCTGAGTATTCCAAATTGTTGTGAGCATCTCAAGGTATTAAACATTGTCATGACTTCACTTAAGTATTCATTCATTTGGGTATTCATTCATTTCATTCATTCATTCATAATAATAATCAGATTGACCTAAGGTGATAATACTCTAAAATATTTTTTAAACATTTCATTGTAATAGCTTAGTCTCAGGGTGTAAAATTTTAATCATTAATAATTGTATTACTTTTGGAGATTACTACTTTATCTTCACCTTTGATAACCCCTTTATTTGGTAGATGTATACTGATCACTTGATACAATATTTTATTTCAGTTGGCTTATTCTATTTTTGACCTGGGCACATTTCTTGGATTGCTATTTCTTAAATATTATATGTAGCTACATGCTAGTGTTGTTAATAAAATATTGTCTTAAAGTAAATTAAGTTAGTTACATGTCTTTATAAGTTATAAAGCTAAATGATAAGGTAGATACACTTTCAAAATGGAAATAATGATATAAGTACTGAATATTTAACATTAAATATTTAAATTTTTAAATTTTAAATATTTAAAATTAAAAATCAAAATTAAAATATTTAAAATTAAATTTCTATTAATTTTATTTACCTATAAATAAGCTTCTGTTTTTAATAGTGAGGATAAATTTTTTTTAGAATTAAGTAAATAAAACAGCTGGACTCTCTAGAAGACATTACAGGTGGCTAAACTGTTAGAATGTTAATCATCACCTATTTCCATTATTTTAGGAATATTTAGTGATCTTCATGTTTCAAAATGTATACTGTTTTTTATTTGCAATTGGAACTATTCTTTTATTATTTGGAAAAGCAGTATGTATTTTTATAATCTTTCAGTGGTGGTGTTGAAGCTTTATAGGGGAATAACTGACCAGTATATGAGTTGTGAGTTGCATTTCTATAGAAGTTCAGAGTAATGTGGTGGAAAATTTTGTTGTGAATTAAAAAAATCTTCTGCACAGCTTTGGGTGGCAAAGCTTTGGTAATGCTAAAAATGAAAATGTTGTGCTGCTATTCATGCATTTTGAAAGTTGGGGAAAAAGATCTTGTTAGAATGTCAGCCATTTATAAAGATAACTTAAACACACACACAGACACACACACACTCCCCCGACAGACATTCATTTAAGCTTCAAATTAAAACCAGAGAAAACATGTTAGCATCAGTTGAAATATGTGGTGGGGGTGAGGAGATTATTAACATACTCTAGTAGAGTGCTTTTCTGCCAGAGTTCAAGTAGTTGCTTATGTTTATCATCAAAATATTCCCATGAAGTTGAAGAAACCAAGATACAGAGAAAGTTACTAACTTAAAAGGGTCTAGATAAGTTAGCAGCAGAGTCAGTGTTAAAACTCTGCAAACCACACTCTACTAGGCAGTTGGCCTTTTCTCTTTGGAAAATTATGAAGGTTTTGGGATTTAGTATTGGATGATCTCTTGCTGTTTATTGCCTATATAACTTTTGGCAAGTCAAGCTTCCTCTGGGTCAACTTTGGCTCTTTTTGTTAAAGTATATTTTTATGCTTTGTTTAACTCTTTGTGAGACAGTGTTTTCAAGTTTTACTCAGATTATTTAAAAAAACAAAAACAAAACAAAATCTGGGGTTTCTGAGCCATAATGGTAACTCAGCGTGGACATTGCACTTTATTTTCTGTGTGAGTAACTTGTCTCCAAGGATACATAAGATATCACAAACAGTGTTTATTTTTTGTTTGTGTACAATGTTTCGTATAATTTGATTTCCTTTTAAAAACCACAAATTGTTTTGGTGATCACAAGGTACGCTGAAATCTTAACAAGGTAATTCTAACTTCCCCTGTTTTTAACCAGTATGCAAATATCTAAACCATTGATTGAGAATCAGATATTATTTTCATGAAAAAAATTAATAACAGGCTGGGTGCAGTGGCTCATACCTGTAGTTCCAGCACTTTGGGAGGCCGAGGCGGGTGGATCACTTTAGGTCAGGAGTTCGAGAACAGTCTGGCCAACATGGTGAAACCCTATCTCTACAAAAAAAATACAAAAATTAATCAAGCATATTAGCATGAGCTTCTAGTTCCAGCTCCTCAGGAGGTTGAGACATGAGCATCGCTTGATCCCTGGTGGCGGAGGTTGCAGTGAGCCAAGATCGCATTGCTGCCCTTCCAGTCTGGGCAACAAGGTGACACTCAGTCTCAAAAAAAAAAAAAAAATTAATGTCAAATTATCAGTTTATAAAGATTCTTGTTTCCATAGTAACACTCACACTTGTGCATGTAATATATTTTGTATTCATATAGGATACTAATTTTGAAGGATGCTACAGTTGGTGATTTTAAACCTAATTTCATGTTATAAAATAATGTTATAGGCTAACCTTTATATAATAACCTAGGAAAGCAGTTTGACTTCCTAATGATAACTAAGCACTAGATTTGATTCTAACCTCAAAATACAGCTTAATTAAAATCCATTTCCAAAACTCATGCCTTCCTTTTTAGTTATAAGTATTTTAATTGGGTATCTATTTTAATTCCTAAAAATTCCTCATATGGGGAATCTCTGATTTTTAATTTTATGTATTTGTCCTCTTAAGTTTGGACAACCATGACTATGACAGAGTAATTTATTGTATATTTATGTTGTACTATGCATATCAAATCATTCTTACCTAGTTTGTGGCTAGTTCTGATGCCACATTTTTGAAGATTGTCTGAGTCTGTAAATAAATCTCAGCTTTGTGAAATAGTGGAATTCACCATAACTGAAAGTACATTGAAACAATTTCAAGGTATCGATGCACAAACAGTTTCTAATTGCTGAAAATCAGGTTTAAGCTGTATTGTGACAAGGATCTTTTTCATTGTCAATTTAGCGTACGTAGTAAACCTTGAACTCTGATTCTGGAGCCCATGGAAAAAAGGATTATTTTGCTTTAATGCCAATTCAGAAATTTCATTTGGCTTCTCTACTTTACATTTCTTTTACACCAAATATTTTATCAAAAAAATAGAAATGGACCATCTGCTGAACCTCCATCAAGTGGGGAGTAGCCAAAGTAGTAGAGCGTCAACAACATTGGTGATTCATTTTCTATATGAGAATAATTGAAAACTGATTATATTTGATAAAGCACATGCATCAGAATTGTATACACTTAACAGATAGAAAATCTGCAAGCCATTCTTTCCCATTCTTCCCTACCTCACCTAAACTGGGCATTTACATTTCTTTTATTTTTATTTTTCACACTGTATTTGTAAGTCATTTGCCAGTATCACATACATTATAAAAATAAACACATGGCTTTTCTTGCCATTTTTCCATCCAAACTTACACTTTGGACCCTGTGACTATTACCACAGTTTATCCTCCCTCTGTTGTACAGCTGTTGGCATGTCTACTTTGGGCCCTTATTCAAATTATTACCTTCATGCCCAGCTTTCTGGTTTACTATTTGCTTAATAACCCTCTTTATCTTCGTAAATATTATGGATTTTATTGATGCTTTTCTCTTATACAGTATTTTAATGACAGAACTATACCAATACCCATGTTCGTGCCCCGTCACTTGCATTGATTTCTCTTTTCTCTTGCTTCCTTTTTTTCTTTGCATAATTTTCTAAGTTGTGCAGAATCAAATTAATTTTATGTTCTGAGGCCAAGTCCATTGATCAACTAGATTACATATTTAACAAAGCTATGTCAAGTCCCCTCTTTTGTGATGTTATAACTGTTATCCTCTGCTGGGGGACATAGCTGACTATCTATATCTAGTGATCTGTTATTGATGCAAGTTAGTTACATAACATTTTTTTTTAAGAAGGCTGCCATTCTTTATGTAGAGTGAGAGAATGGCAGAGTTTTATTGTAGGCTATAGTTCTATAGACTCAGTAACATCCACTATACTACTTGAGTCATCCATTTGGGAAAATGGATGCCTTTTAAGAGTTTAGTTAATAATTCTTGAAGACTATAATCACTGGTGTCTGTCTGCCAGGTATATTCAGCAGTGTATCTTCAGTTGCTGCTACCTTCTGATCTCTGTTTAGGGGTGCGATATCTATAAAAGGCCTGCTGTTATTTTGATTGGTATTGTAGAGAATCTGTAGATCAATTTGGAAAGAATTGACAACAGTATTGAGTCTTCTAACTTATAAACACAGTATGTCTATTATTTTTAGGGCTTTTTTGATTTATTTTGTCAGTATTTTGCAGTTCTTGGCATATAGATTCTGCACATATTTTGTTAGATTTGTATTTAATTTCTTTAGTGCTATTGAAGTAGTACCTTTCTTTGAGATGGAGTCTTGCTCTGTCGCCAGGCTAGAGTGCAATGGCGCCATCTCTGCTCACTGCAGCCTCTGCCTCCTGGATTTAAGCGATTCTCCTGCCTCAGCCTCCTGAGTAGCTGGGACTACAGACACATGCCACCACACTCAGTTAATTTTTGTATTTTCAATAGAGATAGGGTTTCACTATGTTGGCCAGGATGGTCTCTTATCTCTTGATGACGTGATCTGCCTACCTCGGCCTCCCAAAATCCTGGGATTACAGGCATGAGCCACTGTGCCCAACCAGTAGCAGCTAATTTTTTTTTAAAAAATCCAATTGTTTATTG